AATTGCGGAGTTTTATCACCCCATAAAAATAAAGAAAATAGAAACTTATTTTCTTGTCTGGTTCTGTATATATCTTTCGCAATAATACGGTACGGACACCTCTGTGACCGGCAAGCGGGCACAGTGGCCGTTTTTATACAGGAGGACGTATTATCCCGTCCGGATGCATAATGCGTCTATAGCCGTTTTTATGCTACAGTCGCATTATCCGTCTGGACAAAGTTAGGCAAACGTTTTGTAGTTTGTCTGGTTATACGTCTCAGGTATAAAGACTGGCGCAAGACTCATTGGCCGTTTTCATACTAGAGACGAATTATCCATCTTCAAAATCCGTCAAAATTGACGGAGAAACGGATAAAGTCAGGCAGATTGTTCATCTAAAATTAAAACTGTTTGGTTTTCACATTAAGACGTATTATCCTTCTTACGCGAATTACTCAACGGATAATCCGTCTCTGGTGTTAAGACGGCCGAACTATCCTTCGGAATACGTCTTGAACGACGTACTACGATAGGTAGTTCGTCTGGACGCATAATGTGTTTGGTGCCCGTCTTTATGCTTGACACGCATAACCAGACGATCTACAAAATGTTTGCCTAAGTTCGTCCAGATGGATAATGCGTCCTTAGAATACAAACGGCCAAATGTCTTTTCAGGCTGGTTCACACTTGGATTAACTCCTGGTGTCTGTCTTATATGGAGTCAACTAAGAACATTAAAGAAAGGAAGCGACCAACTCTAAGAATCCGTTTTAGGGATAAGTCCTTCACGATTATGTTGACGGTACATGTATCCTGCGATCAGGCTTTTTTTACGAGAAGAAAGGGAGAAACAATAGTGCCACTGTTCCCAAATCCCCAAATGTTTCTGGCTCATTTTATCGTTCAAAAATTTGACTTAATGCGGTATTGAGGCATTGTTATATCCGGTAAGATGAGTTTGCTAGGTACTTCTTGACTGGAACATGAGTAGCCTGTCCCGATTGTGCTCGGCAACTTTTAAGCAACTTTTGACGTTTAGAGCAACCAGTTTTTGCGGTCCTAGAACCTCGAGCAATTTTTGAGCAAAATATAGGTTTAGAGCACATATCAGGCACCTCCAGAGTCTGATTTTCTCATCAATCCCCGTTTGAAATGCTAGCCAAAACGCCTTGCGTCCGGGCACAGCAAAGTTGTTTTGACAAATAGCGCCAACGAGTCTGAAATTCCCGTTTTTAATCTTTTAAAATAAATTTTCAAACAAGTTAAGAAAACCAGTAGCATATTGGTCATGTTTTCGAAATCCACAGCCTTCGTTAGCTTTGGAGTTCATAGCTTAGCTTTTGTAGGATTCTCTCACTCGATCAAATGAAGCAGCCACGCCCTTTCTCACATGACCAAGTTTTACCTCTGTACTGTCACAGGCACCCCAAGCTAACGAGTGGAAATCGTTGTTGCATAACAGAAATATTATAAGGGTTTGAATGGGAATTTTAGCGATTGTTGTTAATTTATGTGTAAAAAATAGCTATGAAAGTCATATCAGGATGTCTTGCGATTTCAGCAAGTTTCAGTTCTGCCGCTGTTCTCTCTTTACTTGACTATATATTATACCTTGGCTGTTAGGGGGAAGAAAGAACTCTCTGGATAGCTGGCGGAAGAGAAGAGGAGAACTCAGACTCGCTGCAGTCGCCCTGAAACGGCCCGGAATATGCTAAGAAAACACCACAACTAATAGACAGGATAAGATGTTCTGATGTATTTTTATTGCTATTTTTGACCCCAAATAGCGATCGCTAAAATCCCTGAACCCCTATAAAATTTCCGTTCTGCGACAGCGATCCTCATTCGTGAACTTTGGATTCTGTGATACTATTATTTTTAGAAAAGTTTGGAAACAATAAATGAGGGTCTCAGAATGAACAATGACGCACCTTTTACAGGATTCTTTTTAATCATATATACAAAAGCCAGAGTAAATAATGAAATGTTCCAAGTTGAAGTCTTATCAATCCTCAGAGTTAAGCGAAAAAATAAGTTGAGCTGAGATTTTGTTATTTTTTCGCAGGAAGAAAAAAGATGAAAAGGAGAGTCAACCCGCCCCCTAAAAAAGATGATCGCATCTATCACTGGTCGATCCCTAAATCAGCTAAATCAGTGTGTAAACATCCCTGTGCTAAAGGAGACGAAGGAGACCGCTTTCTTAAATATCGATTTGACAAATCTTTTAGCTTAAAGTTAATAACATTATGTAACACCGTTACAAATGGTAAGTAGAAATCTGTCCATTTGGATAGTACTGCTCAAATGGTCGTCCATAATATTTTTCAAGGAAGCTTCTCAGAAATCCACTGTGTGCGAAAACTACAATATTTGACTCAGGTCGGTTTTGAAGGAAATCGTGAAATCGCTCTATTCTCTCTTGAAAGTGACTTCCTTTGAAGGTTTCTCCCAACTTACAAGTTCCGTTGCTTAAGACAAATTCGTAGCATTTTCTTGGATCTGTCAGTTGACCCTTCAGCTTTTCGTCCACATACCACCAAACTTTGGAAGGCACACCGCTGAAATCAACTGTTGGATACTTCTTGATCAGGTCTTCTTTCAGAGATCCAATGTCACAGAGCGATTCTCCTATCTCGCGACAAAGATGTGAAGCCACCACATTTTGATTTCCGTAGGTCAGTAAGCAGGTCTCGATTGCTCTGCTCAAAGGGGAAGTAATGGCGACTTCTGCATTCAGATCCTGTATTTTCTGTTGAATCGTCAACGCCTGTTTTTTGCCATAAGTGCTCAATGGCGCATCCAAAAGAGCATCGCTCTGTAGTCCTTTGTCGAAGCGCGTCAGGTTTTGTTCCTCTTCTGCTTCGTTCCAGGTCGATTGGAAGTGGCGAACAAAGTGGACGGTTTTACTAGTTACTGACGGCATGATTTTGAAAAAAGGCCCGTTTAAAACGTCGTTCTACTAAGGTGTCGAACTCAATTGATCGAATGAAGCTAAAACAAAGAGTTAAATAAGATTCCTTGTAAGAACTTTGTCACGGTACAGTGTGCTGCTTTTGTGTTGCACGCCAAGCTTTGCCGTGCTTCCGGAGCACGAGCCTTGGCACGAGTTAAAGTCGTGCTTCTGCAGTGCCAACCTCATTTCATAAATTACAAACTATGCTATATATAAAGCCAATGGCTTAGAATATATCAAATAAATAATATCTTAAAAACTACTGCCAATGATTCCTTGATTCAGTTTAATATCCTCATCTGCAGTTCACAGACACTATTAATTACACACTAGTGTTCAAAGTCATTTCAATCTCCTTATTTTGTAGGTTCTTCATCATTTACTTTAGTTGTTCATTTTACTGCAAGGATCATCACCAACTTTCATATTAGAAAAATTTTAAAAGTCCGCGAAACGGTTTTTTAATGCTCTTAACAGTTATTAACTTTTTCCGAGGTCGTGTTATCACGGTTAGTACAACAATAAGTGTAGTGTAAAACGCATACTCTTTACCTGTAATTTAGAAAATATACAGAAAAAGTATAATCACAGTTAAAAATATCTAGAAATCGCATACTGCGATTTTCAGCACTTCGACCCAGTCCCACCATGCCTCACGTGTGCTCTAGGCGTGTTTCAGCGCCCTTCTTGAATAGCACGTGCATGGCACACGAGTCGTGGTGTGATTTTCTTTGCCCTGACTTGAAATGACCCATTGAACGATCGATCTAGCTTGACAATATCTTCTGACTACGTCGCTTATTTCTATATTAGGCAGTTTTTGAGCACGCAACTTCTTATACTTTAACTGCAAGAAACACGTCAACTTTTATATTAGAATACATTTTAAAAGTTCACAAAGCTGGAATTTTCTTAAATGTCTTATTTTCTACAAGAGCTATTTTCTTAACCTCGGTACCATAATTCTTTTTCTCTCGTGCGGCTGGAGGCGTCAATAATCTTTACTCGTTCTCGTCCCCAGAGCCACTTTTGCGACCAGTGGAGCCCCTGGTTTCAAGACCATGTGACCAAAGAAATGGCGAGCTCTGGGGAGGAGAATGATTTCCACTCAGGGTTTGCTCCACAATGAGATGTGGTCTGGTGTAGCTCCCAAGAGCTGCAATAATGAGGAAGAGAGGTAAGTGTTGATTATAAAAAATGTGTCCAGGGAGATGTTTTTACAAACTTACTTTTTACAAGCCTGCTATTTAAAGTTCGAAAATGTTCACGGACATCTATTTTTTCTTGAAGATTTGGACTCAGTACACGAGAAGATGCAAAGTCTAAATGACGTTACATTTATTGACCACAGCCACTCAGTTTGTGCTGTTTTTTTTTTAAAGGCAAAACACATCATGTATTAGACAGATCGACCCGGCTACGGACTGTACTCGTGAAGCCAATAGCGCTTGTCATTTAAAGGCGACTGAATAGCCACTTTAACAACGTTTGAAACTATCTTTGTGACGTCATTCTTTAGCCTACGTAGCAGCCGCGCACCTGACGTGTGAGGGGAACACGCGAAAGGGAGAGGACTAATAAGGTAATATCCAACCTCGTTCCCAGTGTTCTCTCCTACGAAGTTGGGTAATCTCTTTGTCTGCTAGTTTTATACCACAGTTTCCTCCAAAAAACATTGCAATAGTCGAAATGCGGTTGCACTGAATCAAGGCTGTGTAGACAAGATGCAGTGTTGCTGGGGGAACAAATTTCCTGACCCGCTTGATAGCTGCAATACCGGAGGCAATATATTTAGCCAGCTTTTCGATATGGCTGTCCCAGGTAATGTTTGCATCGATAAGTACACCCAAAGATTTTGACGTTGATACCTGGTTTACCGGAGTACCATTGATATTCAGAACAAGAGATACAGTTTTGTCTCGAACCGATTAGCGCAAAGTCAGTCTTAGTCGTATTAAGTTTGAGTTTGTTTGCGATCAGCCATTTGCCGATATTTTGCAAATCTTCATTCAAACAGGACTGAAGGATAGTCACATCCTTATCAGCGTAGTTATTAAGATGCGTATCACGGCATAAATTCTAGAATAAGAGTTAGATAAGCATTTTGGTGAGTCGTTTATGTATAACAAAAAAATAGAGGACCCATTATTGTGCCTTAAGGGATGCCTAATTGGAGGGAGCAGGTTTTAGAAAGTGAACCACTAACAAAACATATTTGAGTTCGATTTTTAAAAACGACTTAAACCAATTGTACTGAGCGTTTTCTTGAATTAAGTAGTTGCTTAATTTAGAAAGTGATATCGTGTTGGTATCCTTAGCGGCATTTTCTTTCGAATGCGAAGCTTGCGTGTACTTTTTCTTCTTCACCTCGACCAGCTCTTCTGTAATTTCTCGCGCCTTTTGATTTCTTTTTTCGGTTGAATCGTGATTGCAGATTACTGGCTTCAAGTCTTTCGCTAGAAATGTCAGTGCCGGTCTAAGTGAGTCTCTTTCAGCCTCTACTTCTTTGAGTTTGGTTTTTAGAGCCACGTTCTTCCTTTCCAAAGCTTCGACTTGGCCAGTCTTGGCACCAGGCAGAAAGATCAGTCGATCGTTTCAACGATTCAAATGTTAATTTCAGAAGCTCGATGTCCTCGCAAACAGAATTGAGCTTTGCTCTGATATCGAAGGCTTCTAAATCTTGTGAGCTGGATACCAATAAGCCGTCAGTGCCAGAAGCGAAACGTTCAACGGGAACGGTGACTTGCGTCGGGAAAGCGATCACTTTGGCCATTTCAGTTTCATTTGGCGGATTATCGATAAGAAAATCGTGTTCTTAGTTACCCTCAGCGTCTAAAAAGGTGGCTAATCGTTCCCTGAGTATGTCTTTGGTGCCTTGAGTAGGAGGCTAAGGCCAAGTTCGGCAAGCTTTCCCTTCAGTTCAGAAACCTTTAAGCCGAAGCTCAAATCGACACGTCTGGTCGCCATTAGACCTTGCGTGTGTTTCTTACCTTTTCCCCCCTCGCGCGTCCTCGAGATTTCTTTCTGAGCCCCCAGGCGCCTGCTACGCAGGCAAGTATTTCTTTTTTTAGCTTATACCTTTTTGTTTTTTCCCCCGTATTACCAAAATATCAATACCTTGAAATTTTCATACCGACACATTTCCGATATTCTCTTTGTCCGGAAGTAATTTCTTTTTCTGTCCGGCCCCCTTGAAGTAAAAGTAACCCAATGGATCAGACCCGGCTTTCCCCGGGCTATTTCCCCCTGTCCCATTTCCCCTTCACCCCCTCCCCCCCAAACCCAGCGTTATGTGCTTGATACTTTGCAGGAGTTCGATTCGATGATTCCCTATAGTAGTTTAACAACCTGAGCACTGTTTACAGCGTTTGCATCTTTGTTTTGCCTCCTTGTGGCAAGACGTTACGTCACGGTGACTTCACGGAGGGTAGAAATTACAACAAATGAAGAGGTGCGGCAAAAACATGCAAAAACTATGGATCAGATTGCTCGTTGTTTTGAAAAAGCTGTCTCATTTTGTGACATGTTTTTGTTCAAAGATGGGTTTGTGTTTGATGGTTACGTATCTTGTGTGTCCCTTAAATTGTTAGTTTCGTGATATCTTTGAAAGCTGTTACCGTAGGAAGATCTTTTCATCTTTGCCCGGCTTCCTTAGAGGGTTCGCGAGGTCTCCGTCGTAGAAGTTGACGGAGTGATTGTCCTTAAGTGAAATGGAGGAGCCATTCTCTTATCGTTTGGGGCTAACCTTAGCAAGTTATTTTGCAGTCTGGTTTCTGATGGCGTATTCAGAGGTGAGAGCTCAAATTCAAGACCGATCCAGCGCTCCTTCATCCCCATGTGTGGCTCAGAATCAACCCATGCAAAATTTCTCTTTCATTGGCAAGCCTATTTCTGCTGAATGCTTCTGCAAACAATCAATAGAGTCTGATCAACTAAAAATGTGCGCTGCTTGGAAGCTTTCATGCAAGCCTTTTCAAGAAACCTCGGACATCAAAATCTTCACTAAATATAGCAAGGAGATGTTGATGAGCCTTAGTCAGGCCGTAAACTCGAAAAGCTGTGAAGAGTACACACAAAACATCATTCACGGTATCTATGGAAGTACAAAACTAAACTTTTCAACTGTGCAAGAGGCAATTTCCTACTCCATTAACTGGGATTTCTGTGAGGATATGCATATAAGAAATAACACAGGCTGTAACTACACCATAGTTCAAGCTACAGGCCAGAACAACTCCGTGGCTACACGCCGCGAGCTGTTTTATTTTGTGCCTTCATTCACGAGTAACTCCCAGCACTTGCGCCTTGGGAATTTCTATCGCCTGAATTTCGAAAAATACAACGGCACTATTGCTAACGTTTGCGTTTCAGCTCTCGATAATTCTCTTTCTCCATCAGAAACAATGGTAGATTTCACTTTTTTCCCGACCAAGAGGAGAAGAATATCGACACGCTTTACAGAAACAAAGCCTGATAAGGCCTGGAAACGAAACAAAGGTATACACTACCCGGTCTTACCATACTTCTACACGTATACAATGTACGCAGCTATACTTTTAGCTCTTCTTTTTAAATTTTAACACCAATCGAATCCTTTTATCATGCTAATATCAATGTTGAAATTAAATTGGAAGCCGAAGGGCGATGATTTGACTTTTTGTTTGATATCATTAAGCAACGTACAGGCGTTGATACATTAAATCTGGCTTATCAGTGACCTCAATACCTCGGTAATCTTGAACTTGAAAAATTTAATATGATTTTGTTTGATATTTCAGCTGGGCTGATTCATCGAGTATAAGATGTACCATATTTATGATTGACAATTTACTTGCAAAATAATAAAAGTAGTCACTCACTGCAGTTGTTATTTTTTATGAAGCATATGTTAGTATTAGCAATGTATTTGTGTTCTATTATGGCTTCAGGAACACAATAAAACACATGAATTTCTGAGGAAAACTAAGATCTGTTAAAACTATGATCTGTTATTCCCCCTCTGCCATATATGGGCTACATAGGTATGTGCCGCTGTGAAGGGTATGGTTTTCAAGCAGTTTACTCTAGGAAAGGGTATATAAATTAGAGCGTTTGGGTCTAGAATAGGGTATCATTTTTCAGGAAACTGATCAGTTGGTTGAAGATTTTATCTAGACTAGGGAAACAGCTACTCTAGGATAGGGATGATTTGGGGAGTTTACTCTAGTATAGGGTAGCAAAATTCAGCTGAACTAGCTCTGGTATAGGTTAAGGGTTCCAGGGTCCCAGCGACACATCCCCACCCAGAAATTCCTAAAGTACCCCCCCCCCGGGGGTTATTCCCACACAAGTAAAGATATCAGTTGCATGCAGATAATCTTTAATGTTTTTATCTTATCTTGCGCTGGACCACAGCCCTGGCGCATGTTCANGTTTACTCTAGTATAGGGTAGCAAAGTTCAGCTGAACTAGCTCTGATATAGGTTAAGGGTTCCACGGTCCCAGCGACACATCCTCACCCAGAAATTCCTAAAGTACCCCCCCCCCGGGGGTTATTCCCACACAAGTAAAGATATCAGTTGCATGCAGATAATCTTTAATGTTTTTATCTTATCTTGCGCTGGACCACAGCCCTGGCGCATGTTCACGGTTCAACTGAAATTCAACTGAGTTCAACTAAACATGGCTATCCACTGTCTTTAATTTTCTATTATGGACGGAGCCTGCAGACCAGGCGCTATTTTTTCGTGATCTTCCGATGAACGATGCAGAGGCTGGCGTAGAGCAGGTTACACGCGCGACGGGAAAAGGCCCGCACGTGTCTCCCACTCCTCGCTCGCTTCGCGCTTGCCTTCGCTCGACCGTAAATAGCGAAAAACTAACGACTGTTCGGTAGGCTATTATGGACTTTACTTTATTTACCCATTGTACTAATATTTTCTTTTCCCTTAAGAATCCTGATATTCTCTTTCAGAAAGTGAATTTTGAGTTGTCTAGATTAATCTCCTGGTTCCAAGCCAACAGGCTGTCAATAAATAATTCTCAAGAAAACGAAAAGTCTGATAATTAACAAGAGACAACGGAAAATGGTCGCTCATGTGACAATACAGTTTTGTGATTTTAGCATTCATCGAGGAAAATAAAACTGTTTTTGGACGTGCCTTGGGGGAATTCCGGTCAAAGTGGACAGACTGCAAATTATAGTAGTTGCTAAAAAATATATATCTACGTGTTGCAACTGTTCATCAGTAGGATGCCTAAAATGCGTGCAATTCCACAATTGTTTTCGGCGCCATTAAATCCTATACCAATGGCAGAACATTTTAGGAGGAGCCACCCACCATGTGAGCACAGTCACGGACAACACATATAAGTCAGGAAAATAACGCAAAGTAAAATAAAGACGTTAATTAACGAACTAAATGTACACGTCAATTAAATAAATAAACAAATAATGCGCGCGCTCAAAATGAAATTGAACGCGCACACGTACCAAGATACAACTGAAATACAACTCTATGCAATAAATAAGACCTTCAAATTCTCGGTTTTCACATGACGTCACCAAAATTCAAACTAAGAAACTATCGATTCTTCTGAGTTTCTGAGTTTCATGAGGTGTTACAGTACCTAAACACCTTTATTTAAACAAAGTTTTGGTTCCAAATGGTTCTTCGTTTTGCGATAGGGGACGTTTGAATTTGTAGGCTTTTGCGTGACGCGGCATTTGGCTGGCGGTCGGGAAGGCTCTTATGTGGGTTAAAAACATTACCAATTTTGGGAGACTTTGCTATCTAAACATTCCTTGTCTCAGAATAAATATCACTTTAATCCTTTATGAGTTTTTCAAGCGATGATTTCACGCATTAGTAGGAAAACTCAAAAACAGATGTTTCTGTTGGTTTCCGGCGGCCATATTTGTGCCCCTCAAAGGGACACAAACATGGCGTCTCCATACAAAGCTTTATAAATTTGGGTAAAACGTTTTTCCGAATATCTCGCATATGAAAAACCGCACAGACCTGATTCTTGGCGAGGCCTTTTGCATATTTATCTTCTTTTATTTCCTAGATTCTGGACTTTCTGTACTGAATGGTTTGCAATATTATTTTCGATTGCGTGACAGTGAAAACCGAGAATA